AATCATTTGTTCCATAGCTTCCTGAAAGTTTGGACTTGTAGATTAGTGTACCAGATAATTTACTAATGAGACAAAAACAAACAAAGTAGGTTAAACGTTTATACATAACTTATTTTGGTGAACTACTGTAATACATTAGCATGTATTGTAGTGCCAACTACATAATAAAATCACTTTCGGAACATATGTCCATGTAGCATGCCTACTGTATTGTCTATTTCCTCACATTCATTGACATCTAAGGATAAAGAGACATGGTTTAAGGTAGGATGAACATAGTATGACATCATTCATATCATGGGCAAACAGATATAAAACAATCAGGCTATTTTATCATTGTGTGCGCACGTGAACATAACAACTAGATTACAGATCAAGACCAAAAGAATATCCTTCATCTCTTTTAAACCATGTAAGGTGAAATGATACGTTAAGATAACTATGTATAAAAGTGAACAGAGTAACTGACATTGGCTGCAAACCAAGTAGTTAAATGAACACATCACAGTACCAATCAGTTCAAGGCAGGAGGAGTAAGGACTTACAACAGCGGCTTGAACTGCTGTGCTCATGCCCTTCATCTTGCTGGTGTGGCAATCCTTGAAGATTTGCACTGCATTCGGTTCAGGTTCTTTGGTCCGCACGGGCTTTCCTCTGTATTTGGAACAAGTCAATATAGATACGATAATATGGCACACAAAAAAGAAGGAAGTAGCAGCTATTTACAAGAGCCTCGCAGTGTGCAATATAGCTACGAGATCCTGTTGTCTGTTGGAATTTCACTTTAGAACGGTTGGTTTTGTTCTTCAAATAGTTAGCCTAGAACAAGATACACTTGTAAGGCACATACATAAATACAAGTTCAATATGTGGTCTGATCAAATATATATAGCCTACCTGATACTTTGGATCAGACCAGTGTTTAATGAGGGTTGTCCAGTCTTCATCTGTAATATATTCCACTGGAGATGTTTGGGAGATTTCATTGTTAGCCTTGCCTTCAAAGTGAGATTTTCAAAGGTGGTACCGATACTGTTGCAGAGCAGACTAAAAACATGAGTGCATGCTTGTTTAGTTGCATCATCTTTCGGATCCAACTTGAACCTCATCTGTTGAAAAAGAATGTGGGTCTTATTAGGAGGAAGCTAGAAAGTATGGGACAGAGCAAGACAATATTACTAATTGCGATGAATAACATTACTTATGGATAAAAGGTCAAGGAAGGTGTTAAACTGGGTATTGTCTTTCTCATTCCTGTACTGGATCCACGTTGGAAGGATACGTGCATGACACCTAACGGCAACGGCTGCCTTTGATACTAACTTGGCTGACTCTGCAGCATTACGTGGCCTTTTTAAACCTGCCTCAAAATGGATCTCCATTCTTCCTCCTTTAGATTTTGTTAATCTGTCAAGCATTATCCCTAATGTCTGTTTCCGCTTGCGCCGTGGTGCTAGTTCAACAACGAATATGGAAAGTGTTAGTGTACATCAAACTATGAGAGTACATATAAAGGAGCATGCAACTGCAACTTGACTCGGTCAGGTACCGTCTTGGTGTTGATGCTCATGAGGTTCATCTGATCTTGCCAAGGCCTGTTGTGTCAGCAGTGCTTCAGAAGTAGTGTTAGGTGTGAAGGTAGCTTGGGAACTGGCCAGTTCCGGAGCAAACAAACGAGTAACTGGTTGAGATGCTGGTACAATTGAAGCGGATGCTGCAGCTGGTGGAGCAGGTGATACTGTGTTTGTAGATTTAGCCGGTGGACTTGGACCTTCTACTGCACTATAAGTACCAGCAGAATCTCGACGGCAAATCCTTTTCCGTTTCACCTGACGAGTAACAACACTCCCTACTATATTATTTTCCTTGCTCTTTTTTGACTTTGCCATGTCAAGCTGTACCCACAACACAAAAGAATAAAATCACTCTTCAGAACTCATTGATGCATGATATAGACAAGCAATACTTTGATGTAAGACAACCGTATGAGGATGGAATATGTAAGAAAAACAGGACGGCATGACATATTCACAGCTACGATGTGCAAACTAAGCAGAAGGATTTTCAAGAAAATAGAAGTAATGCAAGCTAGACACCATATGAAAGATGCAACCAATATTACTCTGCCAAGTTAAAAGTGTCTTGTCATAAGTGGCAATTCGAAAAATTAGAAGCAGTACAACGTAGAAATCAATGCAAGATGCAACCACTATCAAACTGCCATGTTAAAAGCGTCCAATCATGAGTGACTGATGCGGGATACACAATAGCAGTACTTTGATGTAAGAACATGGTATGATAGATAGATGCAGTGTATTCTAGACACAGAAAGCCATGTCATATGCACATGTATAACATATAAACTCGGCAGGTGCAATTTAATCAAAATAGAAAAAATACAGGCTAGACAACATAGTCAACATGAAACCAATTATCACACTGTCAACTTAGAGCAAGCACCTGCGATGGTGGAGTACGGGAGATGAACTCATCATGTAGACTTGGGACTTCAACTTCATTAGCAGTAGCAGTGGCAAATCTAGAGAGTCTCTCTTTGTCACGCCCAATATGTGACCCTATCCAAAAGGAACTCGAAGGTCCCACCAAGGATAGACCCGCATATTGAAACGCTTTTGCAAGGTGGATATCATTACATCAACATTACATAATAGATGGGGATACATACATAAGGCATACAATGCCACACGAATACAACATCACAATACATCAGAGCATCATCCGACTACGGATGAATCACAAACAGAAACTCAAACGACATCCACCCTGCTAGCCCAGGGTGCCGACCTGGAACCTATCCCCTGATCGAAGAAGAAGCAGAAGAAGAACTCAACGCAAGCAAGCATCACTCTCGCATCATGATCATTGAATAACCTGTACCTGCAACTGTTGTTGTAGTAAACTGTGAGCCACGAGGACTCAGCAATCCCATTACCATGGGTATCAAGACTAGCAAAGCTTAATAGGAAAGGAAGGGGTAAAGTGGTGAGGTTGCAGTAGCGACTAAGCATATATGGTGGCTAACATATGCAAAGAAGAGCGAGAAGAGAACAAGAGGAACGGTCGTCAACTAGTAATGATCAAGAAGTGATCCTGAACTCCTACTTAGGTCAAACATAACCCAGAAACAGTGTTCACTTCCCGGACTCCGCCGAGAAGAGACCATCATGGCTACACACACGGTTGATGCGTTTTAAATCAGATCTGGTGTCAAGTTATCTACAACCGGACATTAACAAATTCTCATCTGCCTATAACCGCAGGCACGGCTCTCGAAAGATTATACCCTGTAGGGGTGTCCCAACTTAGCCCATGGCAAGCTCTCGCGATCAACGAAGGAATAGACCTTCTCCCAGGAAGACCCGATCAGACTCGGAATCCCGGTTTACAAGACATTTTGACAATGGTAAAACAAGACCAGCAAGACCGCCCGATGCGCCGACAATCCCGATAGGAGCTGCACATATGTCGATCTTAGGGCAACACCGGATGAGATAGGCTACGAGTAAAACCAGCCCTCAAGTTTCCCCGAGGTGGCCCCGCAGGCGGCTCAGTTCGAACCAACACTTAGACAAGCACTGGCCCGGGGGGGCTAAAATAAAGATGACCCTCGGGTTGGCCGACCCAAGGGAAAACAAAGGTGGTGGTGAGGCGAATGGTAAAACCAAGGTTGGGCCTTGCTGGAGGAGTTTTATTCAAAGCGAACTGTCGAGGGAGTCCCATAAATCACCCGACTGCGTAAGGAACGCAAAATCCGGGAACATAACACCGGTATGACGGAAACTAGGGCGGCAAGAGTGGACCAAAACACTAGGCAAAAGGCCGAGTCTTCCACCCTTTACCAAGTATATAGATGCATTAATAATATAAGAGATATTGTGATATCCCAACCAAAATCCTGTCCACCATGGAGAAATCTTCAACTTCACCTGCAACTAGCAACGCTATAAGAGGGCTGAGCAAAGCGGTAACATAGCCAAGCAACGGTTTGCATAGGAAAGGTGTCAAAGGTTAGAGGTTCATGGCAATATGGGATGGCTCGATAAACAGGTAATAGGTAACGTAGCATAGCGATAGAACGAAGCAACTAGCATAGCAATGATAGTAGTGAGATCCAGGGTAGCGGTCATCTTGCCTGAAATCCTGCAAAGAAGAAGAACGAGTCCATGAAGAAGACGAACGGACATAGTCGAACGAATCCTCACAATCGCAACACCGGAAAGAAACAAACAACATGGTAAATGCACAAGCATAAACATGGCATGATGCACAAACAAGTATGATGCATGTCCAGTTTAAATGAGGCATGGCATGGCAAAGTGCAACAAACAATACTACAAGTTAGTGGAGCTCAATATGCAACGAGTTGCATATTGACGGAACACCACATCGATTATTTAGTTCTCTCTCGTTTAGGTACACAACAATATTAAATGTTGTTAAACATGGCAAGGGGTGAAGCATATGAAAAAACTACCTATCTAGACAAGTTTAAATGAGGCCGGAATAACGAACAACAAGTCCGGAAAATCCTCATGTCCATATTCTAGTTTTGGTACTGTTCTGTCCTAAACCATATTTGAAGGTTGTTAAACAGGAAAATAAAGTGGACCATGTTAAACTAGGCATTTTTCCACCCCATTTACATATAAAGTTTATTAAAATCGGAGTTACGGTTATTTAGTTATGAAATAAATCATTTTAACATGGCATATTAGCAAATTAATGCAAACATCAATTTAAACATTTTAAACATAGATGAAAATGGCATATTATTAATCTACACAATTTTCTGAGCATTTTACATATATAATTTGTTTTAATCCGATGCATGGTTAATTAATTATTGATGCATGAACATTAAGGGTTAATCTGTAAACATGCAGTTTTTCTGGATAAGGTTAAATTCGCAGCAAGAAAAAAACATGCAAGGGCCAAATCTGCTGGGCCAACAGCATACAGGAGAGGGCTGGGGGGTCTGCTCACCCTGGGCCAAGGCCCGGTTCGGTGGAGAGGGGCTGGCTTGGCTGGGGCTGCTGGGGCAGGCCGCGGAGGAGACTGGGCCGAGGAGGGGCGCTGGGGCGCTCACCATGGGCTTCAGCCCATCGGTGAGGAGGCCAAGGCAGGCCACAGGGCCAGATCTGGCAGGAAGGGAGGCCCACAGGGGCGCTGGATCTGGGGCTTGTCCACGCTGGCGGGCGACGGGTCAACGCGGGCGAGCGGATGGATCGAGCAGGCGCTCGATGCAGCGCTGCTCTCGTTTTCTGAAGAAAACAGAAGCAGCAGTTCGAGGCAGGGGGCAGGCGCGGTGCAGAGGACGAAGCAGGCCAGCAGGGCGCGAGGAACTCCGGCGGGACGGCTGCGGATCTGGGCGATGGCAGGAGGCTGGCGGCGAGGCTGCTGCCGAAGGGGATCGAGGCGGCATGGATCCTGGTACATAGAGAACGAGAGAGAGACGAGGTACAGAGAGGAGGAAAACGGGGGAAGAAGAGGGTGCGACGGGGCTCATCTGCTGGCTTCGGTCGATGCGGACGAGGAGAAGGCAGGGCCTCGGGCGCGGCGCGGTCAGGACGTGGTGGCGGCGTCGAGGTTGGAGGTGGGCGACGACGGAGAAGGGGAGCACCGCGGCAGGGAGCTCCGAGGACGGGCGAGCTGCGGGACGCGAGGCTGCATGGAGCCTCGGCTCGAAGAGGAGAAGGAGCTCGGGCACGGGAGGCTTGAGGCCGCAGGGTCCTCGAGCGGGAGGCCATGAGAGGGCTCTGGTTGGAGGGGATCGATGGATTGGGTGACAGGGGAGATCGAGCAGAGGAGTGGCGGATGGGGGAAATCGAGGAGAAGGTGGAGGCTTGGCTGTGTGGGGTTGGACGATGAGGATCTGGGAGGATCCCGAGGAAGAGAGTGGCGGCGCGGGGATGGGACGGATGGGACAAGGTCCCTAGGTTTTAGGGTTAGACTGTTTATAAAGGCTGGTGGATTAGGTTAGGGGGGTATCCGGTCCCTCCGATCGAAATCAGACGGACGAGAATAATTAGCTTAGGGGAGTCCAACAAAGAAAACGGAGATGTTTTCGGGATGTTTGGGGATGATTCGGATCCAACGGTAACGACAGAGCGGGTCGGGTTCGGGACAAATTTCGGACGCACACACGAGGGGGTCTGTGGTTGTGCAAAGAGGGGGTTGAGCTGAGAGAAGAGAAGAGAAAGAGAGGCTCGGCAGCAGTTTCGGAGACCGAAACGTCCGACGAAGGTACCGGCAATGGTACCACTATACATATAACGGTTGGCTATCAAATGGACTCCGAATGTGACGAAACATGGCAGGCGGTCTGTCTACACTATATTAAGACCGCACGACAAGTTCCAACCCATTTCGAGAACATTTTTATGCCACTTATAAAATAATATTTCGGAGGTGCCGCGGGCGCATGCGAGTGTGGTCGGGCTCAGAACGAACAACGGAGAGAACCGGGGAAACCCGAACGGATGCAAGTTTTATGAAAACGATGTCGATGCAATGCGCATGATGCTAAGAGACAAGATGTATAACAAGAACAAAATGCAAAACAACAGACAAAAACCCAACCACGAAGGAAAAATCATATAGCATCTCCGGAAAAGGCAAGAGTCGGAGTTACAAATATGGAAAGTTGTATCCGGGGCGTTACAACACTCCACCACTACGAGAGGATCTTGTCCCGAGATCTAGGATGGCACCAGAGGGAAAAGGAAGAGGAAGAGAGGAGGTAAACTAAGTTGCTTCTTCGACCAATGAGTGAAACCATGAACCTTGAGAGGTTGAGCAATTAGAGATGAATGAGATTGCAAACAATCCTTTAGAAAAGAGGAACGAGGAACATTATGCGAACCTTGAAGGTTGCAAAGACATGAATCAAAAGTTTAATGGACAAGATAGAATTGAAACCACTCTGGTTGAAACTAGATAAGAATGAATAAGAATGATATAATTTTGACAGCACTCCGACTGTAAATGGAAGAAATTGAACATGAACTTAACAAGATGAGAGGATACTTGATGAGATCAACAACACACTACCTCCGGAACTATTGAAAGAATGGCACAAGGGGTAAGAAAAGATTTCAGACAGCTGTCCGGTTGAGGAAGGAGGCAAAACTTGATAAGATGAAAGAACTTGAATGAGAACAGAACTCTCCGATTAAATGGATAAGCACGAAAATAACATGATCCTCACAATTTGAGATGATGAGTGAAGAGCAGAACATCACAATGCCTCCGGAACGAAAGAACAGAAGTAGATTGTTGGGATAAAGGGACGGAGAAGGAAATGACAACTCCTACCACAATTGAATTTGGAAAGCATCCTTGCAAAGAAGGATTGAACAGAGTTGTTGGAAAATCAACAACGAAAAGAATAAGTTTGTAGTGGGCTTATGAAAAACATCTCAAGACTATGAGGTGACATTCTGCCACTAACGAAAAAACAAATGCTTGTTTGAGATCAACGAAGAGATGAAAACCTCTTTCACCGAGAAGGATATGGAGAAAGCTTGGATCAATGATAAGCACCAAAAATAGCAACATTCCTTAGGGAAGGCTTTAGGTGAAATCTATACCAAGATAACTCCAACGAAGAGATTAATGGATTTAAAATATCTCATTCTTGACAACATGTGAATCATGAAACACGAACTCAATTTGTCAAGAATGACATAACACCATCTCAAAAGATAAGGTAGAAAGAATTGAACTTCGGGATGCAAGATGAAGAATACTTGAGCTCCTCAAAACAAAACGTGTGTTGAACACCATGTTTATTTTAGAGTAAAGCTTGATGGATCTTAACTCCGAGAGAAATCTTGAAGAACAAAATGAGAATGAAAGAAATCCTTGACGAACCATCATGTAGATCTTCCATGGAGAACTCCGGTAATAAAAGAATGATAGAAAGAAAGAGAAGTTGAAAGAACAAGGTGAGCCTTGTGATGATTTAGATGGAGCTTTGCGATGATATAACCGAGAGAACTTGGAACTCCGGAAAAAGAAAAGGTGAAACACTAGAACCGAGAATTACTTCATCATGAACAATCTCCGGAAGAAGGAATTAATCACTTGGATGAAACAAGAATAAGAATTATGTCATGCCTATCCTTCACCAATTTAAATTGATGACAAGCAACGGATTTGGCATACTACTTATTCTTGTAGAAAGAATTAAGAGAGATATAGCATAAACTTGTGAAGGTCTTCAAGGAACCACCGGTAGGATTTGGAAATAATGAATATTTGATATGCTAACGAAGGAAGTGAAATCTTGAACGAACGACCGTACGAATTGAAAATGAACGAAGTAAAGGGGTGAATCACCGGTAAGAATTAGAGAATGAATGAAGATACTTGAGGGAATTTAGATACATGAGAACGAAGAGATCATGACCTGATTAGAGGGTATTTGAACGATGCACCGGTATGATTTGGAGAACGAGAGCTGAAAGCTGGAATGAATGATTCTGAGATGATGTGCTCCGGAGAATCAAACTGAAAAGACTCCTGAATAGATCCGGATGGGTGAAAAGAATTTTCACAATCGAAAACAATTATGAGAGGATGGCATCAAGCTAGAACCATGAATCTTGAAGAGAATGGACCAAGATTTAGAGGAAACACTTCTTCGGTCTTCAAATGTTGAGAATGATGATGAGAACCACCATGACAATTGTTGAGATACTCCGGGAGAATGAAAAGCGAAGGGGTTGAGCCAACGATGAAAAGAATTTGAAGATCTTGGAGAAAGACATATGACTGATGATAATTCATTCTTACGTCAATCTTGGAAAAGAATATGGGAATAGCTCCGGGAAGAATTAGAAGAGTCAGGTAAGATCCTGGGAACAGACCTGTGGGTTAGGGCCCACTCAAAAGATACACCTTCGAAAAAAATTACTTGAAAGGGAAATTGCACCGGTTGAAATAAATGACTTGAATGAGATAACAACCTCGAAATATCTTGAACGGATTAAGAATGGAAACACAAGTCTTCTGAGATATCTTGAGCACTCCGGATAATAATAGAGAGAGGTGAACAATTAGGAGGTGCACCGACGTGGAAAAACATTTGAAACGAGGAAAGGGATATGATCAACACCGAAAGCTTGAATTAAATCCACCGGAGAGGAATACGAGAATGAAGATTGATGAACTTGAAGCTCATGAGCATCTTCACGAGGGATCACCGGATCAAAACATTGATTGAAAAGAGTGAAGAGACTTCACATGAATAAATGGATACTTGATTAAGAAATCTGGGTCCTTGAAGAAAAGGGTGGGAGGGCGAGAAAACAAAGGCAACTTGAGGACGAATGAAACGAACAACGTTGAGAAAACTTAGAATTGATCTTGCGGATGGGGAGAATGATGGGTTCATCTCGAAGAGAAGCGCACCGGTTGGAAAAGAATTAACATGACAAACTCGATGATCAAAAGGATTAGTACTCCCATAGAAATATGAGAACACCGTTTAGGGAAGGTATGGATCAACACTTGACTTCGAAGCAACTTGAATACCACAAATAAAACAAAACAAAGGATTTGGCTTGCAGAATAAGCCGGAACAAACATATGATAGAGATTTCATCCGAAGTTTCCGTGGTGGGGCCCACACGGGCTCGATTGTACAGCACCATCATGTACAAGGCAGTGCACATGACATACGAAGTGTCCCCGAACCAGCATAGCCAAGGGTTCTTTAAGACACAACGAGACCACTGTAAAAACGACCGTGGAAAGGCGGACCACTAGACGTCGAACCCCAATCTCATATCATGCATCTGTCGAAAAGATATTCTAGGAGCTACTTGAATTCCCACCTATAAAACTCCCGAAACTTTCTGGTTATGCAATCTGGTGTTGGGGATACAGGGGAAGCAATATATCTCACCCAAACTAACAATACCTAGATCCAAGCTGTATCCATCCGTCAACACATAACCAAGAAACCTTCGGAAATCGTGTACCTCAACCTTCGAAAAGCATCCGTTATACGAGTTATGGCAATACTCTCGAGCTCGCCCCAGTACTGGGTTATCGGGGTTATCTCACCAACAACTGCATAAAAGAGATTTTCGATGTCGGCAAATCTCAGGTATTCCAGAACTGCAACGATAAAATTGTGACGACAACACCTCGGAGCTCAACTCCCCGGGTCAAAGCCACATAAATAGACAGGAGGCACCAAGAACAATATTCTCGTCACAAAACCATCAGAACGATTCCAAGATACCCGCGTGATCCTAAAAAAATTTATTGAAATTTGAGGAGAGGAAAGACAAAACATCTACGTCAAGAGTCCTCACCAGAGCGACGAAGGGGGCTGAGGAGTAAAAAGAATTCCTACTCTCCGATATATATAATTCTAAGACTCAAAATAGTTTTTTTTCTAGACTCAACAACGGCCAACAATCAAGGGGGCTCCTATGGTCGGTCGAGGCTCTGATTACCAACTTGTCACGCCCAATATGCGACCCTATCCAAAAGTAACTCGAAGGTCCCACCAAGGATAGACCCGCATATTGAAACGCTTTTGCAAGGTGGATATCATTACATCAACATTACATAATAGATGGGGATACATACATAAGGCATACAATGCCACACGAATACAACATCACAATACATCAGAGCATCATCCGACTACGGATGAATCACAAACAGAAACTCAAACGACATCCACCCTGCTAGCCCAGGCTGCCGACCTGGAACCTATCCCCTGATCGAA